AGAGAGAAGAGGAGGACGGAGAGAGAGAGAAAAGGATGAAGACAAGAGAAAGAGGAGGGAGAAGGAGAAGAAGACCGAGAAAGTCAAAAAGAGTACAGAGGAGGGAGGAGGGAGGAGGAGATAAGAGAGAAAGAAAAAGAGAAGATCGAGAATAAGAGGAGAGGAGAGGAGAGAGAAAGAGAAGGAGTAGGGGAAAGAAGAGGCGGAAATGAAAAAGGGGGGGGGTTGGCTGTTTAGGGTTTGGGTGTTTTTTTTAATACAAAAGTTAGATTTTCGTTGGAAATTTCCGACGGATATAAATTTCGTCTGAAATTTAATTTTCCGACGGAATTACGTGTCTGTCAGAAATAATCCGTCTAAAATTGACCTGATTCTTGTAGTTTGGGGAGGTGCAACAACGGGCGGCGAGGGGTGGAGGAGGTTCGACGAAGGGCGGCGAGTGTTGGTGAGGTCGTGGCTGGGCGGTGGAGTGGTTGGTGATGTGGGAAAGAGGGGTAGTGTGGTGGCGGTGATTCCCTTTGTTTTTGTAAACCAAACAACATACTACATGGAAAGGGTTTCCTTCCAATCTCTTTCATTCTCTTTGTTCAATCCATTTCGTTTACCCTGTGCAAACCAAATGGCCCCTTATGGGTATTTAATTTGTTGGAATTGTCTTAAATAATTTATTCAACTGTTATGATTTATACTTATTGATAATTAAAAATATTATTCCGTACAAGTCTTGCATCAGCATACATACATAGTTAAAATGGAACACCCAAATAAAAATAGATGGAGTACTCCGTATAAATTTGAAAATTTATATTACCTCTATTTTTTTTTAAATGCATCACTTTGACCAGCACATTAGCTGAGACGTAACTTTGACCATTAATAACTTTAATTGTATATTAGTAAAATTGTAACAAAATTAAATTATAAAAATAGGCATTGTAACTAATCTCATGATAATCCATAACATTTACATATTTTATAATAGTAAAAAATTTAAGTCAGACATGGTATGTGAATAATGCCAAAGTCAAGATGATGCATTAAAAAAAAATAGAGGGCGTAACAAAATACGCACAAATCAGTTCAATGTAATAAACGGATAGCCATTTTCATTTTTTTTCTCCTTTATAACTTCATTTTATCGTTTTTATTTTATCCTTTTTACATTCTTATGTAATTATTTGATTGCATATAAGAAGCTAAAAATGATAAAATCTTGAATATACACCGTATTTGATTTTAATATTATCATTAAGGCATAATGTGCACTAACAAAACCATTACGATGAGGATCTTGCTAACAAGCGCCACGGGGCGTTAGATAACTAATTAATATATTACTTAAAATAGTACATTAAATTCTGAATGCATGACAAAAATCACTCGTCGATTTGTATAATTAATGTTAATCTATACTTAATATTTAATAACATGAAAATTTGCAAGTCATAAAAACTACCATGTGTCACCATATAAATATTCCTTTTTTTTCTTTTTTTTTTGGATTTGAAAAAAAATAAATTATTTGCTTCTTATTTCCTTAATCATCTTTAACTTCCCCTTTCCAATCATTTCGATAAGAAAATTAAGCCATTTTCCTTATATTTAAACCATCATGTCTTTTCATTTTAACTTTATTAGTTGCACATCTCAATTTTAACAAACTAATTCATTTTTGTGTTTTTTTTTTTCAAAATTGTATTAATCCTTTTTTTTTTTTTTTTTTTTTTATTTGTTTGTTTCCAAAGGGTGTCATTAACCCTTTTTAAGTTTTATTAATTGTTTAGTATCTCTATATTCCTTCACCTTCCAAATATAATATATGAATTTATGTTTTTATATTTGAGAATAAATATTTTTTATACATAATTAAAAATTCACTTCAACCGTGTATTGCACGGAATAAAAACTAGTTTTATTTCAATACTAGATGGAAGCCCGTGCGTTGCACGGTTTTTTTATCTATTTTTAATTATTTGATTTAATGTATTTAATAATTTCAGACAAAAAAAATTTAATATTTATTTTTTTTACTATAATTTATAATGAATTTATTAAATATAAATAAATTGTAAATATGATATTTTTTCCGTTATATAAAATTTTTAATGTGAAATGATAAATTTTTAATATTTAAATACTAAATCATTATTCATTGTTTTACCATATCTTTTATTTCGATAGAATCAGCAACCTCGTCCACAACCAACCTACTACATCTATGGATAAAAATGTTCGCCAAACTGAAATTGATATAAATTAAATCTTTACATTTATATAAAAAAAATCAATATATTTATCAATAAATGAAAAATTGTTGCGATATAAAATCAAATCTATGCATTGGAATTTTTTCATCATCTCTAAAAATAACCAAAGTCATCCATGTATTAAGTATATAACATCTGATCGTATGCCATTACATAAACAAATAATTGTTAAGTATCCTAAATAAATACTATGTAACTAATAATAACAAATATAAATTTAAACATAAGATTTTAAAAATTACCCGGACATTGATGACCTAAAATTAACACAAAATTACTAACACAAAATTTGCTTGATGGGGTATTGTATTGATACGAAACTTTATTTATGTCGTATGATGTGTTAATTCTGCATATAAAAAAACATTTAGTAAATAAAACATACATATAATCGTTGAGTATCCCAAATTAATACAATGTAAGTAATAATTAGAAATACTAATTTAAACATAGGATTTTAAAAATTAAGCTAAAAATTACCAAACCATTGATGACCAAAAATTAACACAAAATTAATAACACAAAATTCACTTGATGGGGGTTTTTTATTGATAAAAAATTTTGTTTGTGTCGTATGATGTGTCAATTTATAATGGTAGGTATCACAAATTTTAATTTAATTATAATTAACGAATAATTTGTTTTTCCTATCATAAATACTATCAAAATTATCTTATATGATAGGTTTCAAACTTTATTATAAGCGTTTATCATTTAAATATTTTTTAGTATATTTGTTTTGGATTTCTTATACTCGTAGTATTGAATTAATAAATTTATCTTTTCCTATATTTTTACTTTATTTTTTTCATTAAAATAATTTAATTCATGGATTATAATCTACGTGGCATTAAAATTTTAGATATATCAAATCTAATTCGTTACTTTTATCTAGGTGGCGATGCACGATTTTTTTTTTTCATGCATAAATCTCAAAAAAAGATATTTTCCTATAGACTTTAAGTTTTTATATATATATATATATATATATATATATATATATATATATATATATATATATGATTTATTTTACTATTTTATAATTTTTGACGAAAAAAACACATAATAATTTAATTAAAGTGTTATTGCCTATTACAATAGTATAATTTTATTTTTTAATGTAATTTATTAAGCGACTTTATGTATTGTTGTTTTGTATTTTATTCGTTGTTGTTAGTTATATGACAACTGAATTTAATAATATGAATAAATTGTAAATATGAAAACTAAAAAAAAAAGGTTGTAAATATGATATTTTATCGATTACGTATTAGGTTAAAATCTTTAATGTGAAAAGATAATTTTTTTTTTCATTCTTTGAATAATTTAAATCCTAAATCATTATTAGTTGTTGTTTAAAAAATAGAAATAATAAAAATAATAAAAACTTGTATACTATTTATCTTCTATTTCAATAAAATCACTTACTTCGTTCACACCCATATGTCTTCCATCTAACAAAAGTGGATAAATAAAACATGTTAGCAAAAAAAAAAATTATATAAATTAACCGTTATAGTCTTATAAAATAAATCAATATATTTACCAGGAAGTGAAAAATTGTTGTGAAATTGTTCTAAAAATTGTAATTGTACAAAACCAAATATATGCATTGGAATTTTTTCATCGTCCCTAATCGCCCGAACAATAGTATTTTGGAAAATTGAATCATTATTTTGTTGTCACTAACAATGCGTGCAATATTGCTTCTTATTTGTAACGAATGAAAAGTATTTAATTGAGTAAACTTTTCTTTTAATTAATTTTGGACGAATTGTACAAAGTTGGCTTTAATTGAGGTATGAACGTAATCAAAATTAAGTTAATTTGATGACTTGATTAAGCTACCTAAATCACAAAAAAATTGTTCTAATCATAAAATTAATTAATATAAACTACAAAGGTTTATAACAAAATTTAATAAATGTAAACAATTTAAAAAGATATAATACCTTCTCATCCAATAGGACCATCAGGCGAGAAAGTCGTACTTTGATTTTCCAACCATTTTTGTTCGAACCTAATTCTCTGATTAAATCAAATGTGAGTGTAAAAACAAAATTTAGTAAACAAAACATAAACATATAATCGTTAAGTATTCCAATTAAACACAATGTAAGCAATAATCACAAATATACATTTAAACATGGATTTTAAAAATTAAGCTAAGAATTACTCAGCCATTGATGACTAAAACTGACACAAAATTCGCTTGATTTGGTTTTGTATTGATACAAAATTCTGTCGGTGTTGTAGGATGTGTCAATTTATAATGGTATGCATCACAAATTTTAATTTATTTATTATTAAGGAATAATTTTATTTCTTATCATAAACACTATCAAGATTTATCTAAGATATATAAATCCTATATCTAAAGATGATTTTTTAAAAATAATTTTTAGTTTTTTAAATAAATTAAATCCTAATAAATCACTATTCGTTGTTTTAATTACGTGGCAAAATTCTTAAATCTCATTCGTCACTTTTTCTTAGGTGGCGAGTGAATTTATTAATTTCAAAATAAAATACAAATCTAAATTTTAATTGGTAGAAATAATACCTTTGCTTATGTGGCGCGCCGAATGCTCTCAAAAAATGCCTATATATATATATATATTAGATTAGATTTTCATATTTAGTTATCTTATATATCTAACATCACGGGAGCACTCGTTAGCTTTTCCGTAATAAAAATTTGGAGAGTAAACTATGCTGTGTAAAACCCAGTTTAGAGATAATCGGGAAAATACAGCCGCATGATTGGACAAACAAATGTCATCTGAAATTTAATAGATTCTATATATATTTAATTTATGAAATTCACCTCTAAAATTTTCAATTTAATCCCAACTCGGTTTAAAGCGTACCAATACTAATTAATTAGCTCGAACTCCAAATACTTTCTCTCTCCTCTTTAGCAACATCAAATACAGTTCGATTGAATCGAAGTTAATACAAGAGTGTTTGAGATGGCTCAAGCGGTCGAAGAATGGTATAAGCAGATGCCAATCATCACTCGATCTTATCTTACTGCCGCAATTGTTACAACAATTGGATGTTCTCTTGATGTACGTTGTTTTCTTCTTTAATTCAATTAAGAATTCAATTACTTTTCTAGTTTATGTGATTTTTGTTGCTGTTTTGATTGATTTTGCGCTTGGATTTTGATTTTTTTGGGTATTTTTATTGAATTGGGCATCTGGGGTTGGTTTTTTGTTTGATAATTTGAACTGGGTATTGTTCAATTTTCTGGGATAGTTAGACTTTTGTTGATTGTATTAGTTTTGGGATAATTAGGGTTAGTTTTTTTTTTTTTTTTTTTTTTTTTTTTTTTGATGATTTGAATTGGGTTTTGCCTACAATCTTGAATAAGCGTAATTCTGAATTGGGCATTTTTGTTGGATATGTAATTGAATATTAAGTTTCTGCCATTGTGTTCAGCATGTTGGTAGGATGTTTATATAATGAGCTTGAGGCAGATGTTTCTGCTCCATTTGCTAGTTTGTATGGAAATGATTTTGAACGGGTGATGCCTATTTAGGGGCTTTTGTTTATTTTCTCTGGAATGAATTGCGGCTTGCATTTATGATACATAACTTTCTTTTTGTTTCAAAGAACTGATGGTAATGTGATTATTGTTTGAATCTCAAGAATCCAGGATAGGATGTCGTTGCGGATTTTGTAGTATCGTTGTGTCTATCTGTTATAATAGATTAATAGTATGAATCACAAAGCAGATTCAATTGATAGTTGAGTTATAATTGGGGTTGATGACTTGATGTAGCATAGTTAGAAATGATTTAGCATAGTTAGAAGCGAGGATGCTCAATCATTGACTATAAAGTGTTTTGATATAGCTCAGATGCTCGGTAGATGTTAATTCCTATTTTATTTGGAGACCTTTATGAACATATATTTTTTTTTAAAAAATTTAAAAAACTTAAGAAGTGAGTCTATAGTGATAGGTAAAGGAACTAGTTGTGAAGTACTTATATTTTTCTGTCGCAGAAATGCCAATTCACACACTGCTGCTTTTGTCTGTTGCTTCTATTGTGTAATGCAGTCCAAACCTAGCATTGGAGTGGTCTTTCCTATAATTTTACTAATGCTCACCTGGCTGAAGCTTATAAGACGTTGATTTTAGCTTCCATAAGAGATTCTACTGATTGCATATGTACTGAATATTAGCTATGTGAGTTTGGGTGTTTTTTTAGTCAATTTATAGAGGCCTAATGTAACATGTTGAAGGCACATGACTGGTGTTTGGCAGCAACATGTATATTTGTGTATGCATGCCGCATGCACTATTCCGGTCATATTAGAGATAGCATGCCTTATTTCTTTTACTAATATGTAGGATTATACTGATATACCAATCTCAGATTGTAAAAGTGGCTGTCTCTGAAGTTTGATACTAAATACAGGCTTGTATCTTAAATTTTATTATTATTGTTATCTTAGAATTAGAAGCAAATGTGAGGCAAAGGTCATGTGGTGAATTACCGATCTGCCTGCAACTTCTCTATATTTTAGACTCCGCATACCACCTATGTGTCAGACTGTCATTAATATAGTCTTTTATTTTAAAGTAACTAAGAATTTGTTAAGTTAACTACTTCCAGTTGATAACTTTGTCATGCATTTATCTGGGAATACAAATACACATGATATGTATTTTAATGATTTGCAGATTATTTCCCCGTACAACCTGTACTTGAATCCACGGCTAGTAATGAAGCAGTATCAGTTTTGGCGACTTGTTACAAATTTCTTGTACTTCCGGAAAATGGGTAATTTCACACTTTTCTTCTTTTTTCTCCCATCAACTTTTTGGCTGCAGTTACCTGTTCATGTGATGTTTAGTTGCCTTATGCTGTATATGATTATCCATTGGGGTTTGTGAGTTTTCTCGTCTTGTGAAAGCATTTCTTTCACATTGTTGGATAGAGGTCTTGCACATCTGGTTAAATGTAAATTACCCTACAAGTCTTTATTTGTAAGCAAGCTAAGTCTGTAATATGACTTTAACACTTAAAAATGGTTTTTTTTTATTTGTACTCTCTGTTTCACCTTGACTGTCTTGGATGGGGAAACATAAATGTTAAATGGAGTGTTAGAAATGATAATAAATTGCACCTCTTAACAGAGCTAGGCATTGACATCCAGAAAGTACTATCAATTTTTTAGGGCGTCCAATTTGAAACATTCTAAAACAGGTACTAGGAAAATCCTACTCAAACGTAGGAAGTTAAATTTGCCTATTCTTGAACCAAACATTTTGATACTCTGATTAGTGGTTGGCCAGAATTAGTTCACTGAAGCTGATTTGTTTACTTCAATATGATTTCTTCTTCTTGTTAGATTTGGACTTTCTCTTCCACATGTTCTTTCTCGCGCGATATTGCAAACTTCTGGAGGAGAACTCATTCCGGGGAAGGACTGCAGATTTCTTTTACATGCTCTTGTTCGGGGCTACTGTTCTGACTGGAATTGTTCTTGTTGGAGGAATGATACCGTATGTGTCTGAATCGTTTGCAAAAATCATATTCTTGAGCAATTCTTTGACATTCATGATGGTCAGATTTTTTCCCTTGCGTCCATTTTTTGCATCGATAGTGGTATCTGCTCTTTTATGGTGTCCTCATATTTTTGGTTAATATGCAGGTGTATGTGTGGAGCAAGCAAAATCCTTTTATCCACATGAGCTTCTTGGGCCTCTTTACATTTACCGCAGCTTATCTTCCATGGGTAAGAACTGAATTAGGATGTATAAACTATCTTCTTGCTGTCCTGTTAATCTGTTATTAAAATCATGGAAACCAAATAAACAGTACTGTAAAATATTGCATATAAAACCTCTAGGTTCGTGTATCTAAGTTGTACTCATTGTCACTAGCTCACAATGCTGGCTGCCTTTTCGATAATTATTTGCTATTTGGGACAATGTAAATGGTGAATAATAGCATGCTATTCAAGTGAAGATGTCAAGTTACTCAAGTATATGTGTTGCTATCTGGAAGTATAATCACATACAAAATACTAAATTGGTTTCTCTAATTTCAGGTGCTGTTGGGATTCTCTATCCTGGTTGGCGCCAGCCCCTGGGTTGACCTTCTGGTATCTCCTCTAAACCTTTTTGTATCTTTTAACGAAATTTGGTAGTTGGTTAGATTTCATATACTACGTATTTGGAATCTTGTTAGAGACAAAGTCACTCTGTGAAAGGAATTGAACTTTTCAAGGATAGACAAGGCATTATCAACTGCATAGCTTACATGTCACCCTCAAATTCTTATTTTTTTGGTCGGGAACTTGAGGTCTTATTATTGAGGAATGAGGACTGTGTTTTGTGGTAAAATCGGAATACCTAATAATAAATTTGGTTCTCGGGTCTTTCTATAAGGACTGTGCACTAAATTTAATGCTGTTAACCAACTGTTAAAGAGTAAAGCTTTCTTATGAGAGATTTTCCACTTCAGGGTCATTAATAAGGGTTTCGAATAAGTCAGGGTTGTTTTGAGTAAAGGCTAATATATAGTAGTTCACTTTTGTTAATTTTTCCTTATGAAAACCTTTCTTGAGTCTAGGATCAACCGTTTCTTGTCATGTTTTGCCTATTTGATTTATAGTGTACCTAATATTTGATGTCCATATAAATATATAGAGATGATTTTGTATCTCGATATCCTGCATTAGTTATGAACTTTGCCAGTCTTTTCTTGGCCTCCATTGGCAACAAGCACTAATGGTTCTGATTTGCAGGGAATGATTGCTGGACATGCTTATTATTTCCTTGAAGATGTATATCCAAGAATGACAGGTCGTCGCCCTCTTAAAACTCCGTCCTTTATTAAGGCGCTGTTCGCTGATGAGCCTGTTGTGGTAGCACAGCCCGGAAACGTCCGTTTTGCAGCCCCTGCAGCAGACGAGCTTCATCAAGATTAAGCCCTTAAAAAACCAAGACTCTATAGCCTTGTGTTTTCTTGTAATTATTTTATGTGCGGCGATAGTTGGGGCTGAACACGGTTGTTGCCGTTGCAAGATTTCATTTAACTGATGACTAACTATAGGCTAATGTTAATTATTGTGACAGTGATGATTACTCTTTTGGGAATGTAGCATTGTTGCTGTACTGTAAACTTCCAATTTGGCTTTTTTGCAGTCAAAGGTAAGTCACTGGATATTTTCCATAGTGTAGGCTAGGCCTATTCTCCGTGCATTTGTTAAATTTCCAATACTTCTTTGGTGCTTATGCTTTGAGATACGAGTTACGAGTTTATTGTGTTTAACACAATCTTGAAATGAGATGTGTGGATTAATTTGAATTTGTTTTTCTTTGATCTGCCTTTTCATTTGCCAAATGCTCGTAAACTTCTAATCTTCATTATGTTACTGTATTCTCGAGAGGTGAACTCTATATTATGTGAAGGCAACTTTGATGGATTAAACTTTATTTGAGCCAAGGTGATTTTTTATTGTTGAAAGGCGATTTTTATGTTGTACAAAGGTGGTTTCATAACGTATTAGTCCATATCATATCACGATCTCCCCTAAAGCGATTTACAAAGTACTCCATATTACACTTGCATGACCTTAAGTATCAAGCTGGAGTAAACAATACTTTTGTACTTGCTGTTGCCATGGTGTTAAGCATTGTCTACAGAAGACGACTCAAAGGGAAAAACCCAGAGTTGAGTTTTCATTCTGAGAAAAGCTTTACTAATTATTCTTTGCTTCTTTCTAGTTAAAAGGATAACAATTCAAGATCGGCCCTAAACAAGACTTGTGCAGCAAAAGTGTTGGCACGAAACTTTGTGCTTAGTTTTTGAACCATCTTTGCGTAGTGCAATTTGCAACCACTGAAGCAACAAAGAAGGCATCCATGACATATATGCCCTTCTAGCTGTAACACGATCCCATAGAACCCTACAAAAATTAGGGAAAAACTTCCCATTGTTTAGCTGCAAAGAGCTGTCATTTGCTAATCAAAACGAATTATGATTTTCATAGGGCATACTAATCAATAGTCCAGGAATTCTTTATGACAAAATTTGTTGAAGCTTAATATTGTGCAGTGTCTTAACTCTTGCAATTGAGAAGAATTGCATCCCAAAGGAAAACACCAACCGCAGGGCTTTGCAATTGAGAAGAATTGCATCCCAAAGGAAAACACCAACCGCAGGGCTGAAGATGTGGCGCCTGAGTCTAACAGATTGGGTGATATATGCCTGAGATTCTTTTTGGAGGCAGTTTTCGCAAGATGAAAAGGACCAGTGCCGAAGGTAAGATCTCAACAAGCTGCATCGATAAAATAATTGGCAAAAAATGTCTCAGGTACATGTAGGATTTAGGCTTAAAAACAACAATTTGATGGGAGTAAAAATTATACCATGTAATAGAAAAAGTCCAGGATTGGATGATCCAATACATCGAGGGAGGCATCCACATCAAATGCAGACACGAGTACCTACATCAGGTGAATGTCAATACACATTGCCTAATCACTGAATTAACAGACTAGGATACTTGTTTTCAGACACAGGTATGTGTCCAAACATGTTGAAGTGTCGAGTAATTGGCGTGAAATAAAGAGTCCAAAATACTCCTTACCAAGTTAAGCAGAATAGGTAAGTAGGAGCAGGAAGCAACATTGGTAGTTTAAGCTCAAACATAGAAAATTGGCAAAAAGACTTTTATGACACCTAAGTGAAGAAGAAGAAGCTCACCACAATACATCTTATGAGAAAGCAGGTGAAACATACAGCTGCTACTGATCCAACCTGGCAATGTCAGAAACTGCAAGTTAAGATCTTTATGTTATGGGAAAAAAAAAAAAAAGAACTTAGAGGATGAGGAGAGGGAATATGAAATATTGGGATTTGGATGCGGTTGGAGCAGCTTTGGTTCGTTACTAAAGGCACACTAGAATCTGTTCAAATTTCTAGTTCTGAGGTTGTAGAAATTGACTAGCCTCAAATGTATGTGAAGTTTCAAGATTGTCAACTAATGTTAGAAATTGAAGTTATCTGTTTAAACTTCTGAAAACATGATTAGAAGTATGAAAATCTGAATTTTAGGCAGAGGATTAAAGGTTTCTCCTCAATCCAATTCTTCAAAAGACTACTCTGTGTATGGAGAAAATGCAATCCATGAAAAATATATGTGTGATACTGGACTAAAAAATGTTTCAGATAAAAGCACAAACCTCATATAGTTTCTTACTTCTCCCTTTCGATTCAATTGGGAACTGTCTCAGCATTAGAAATAATCTGGAGTCATTCAGGGAAAACACAACTAGTAAACACAATTACAAAGTATATTGGTATAACAAATCTGCATCGGTGTTCAACTTTAGAGGATCAAACATTTAAAACCTGACCTTCGTCCATAGAACAAGAAACTGATCGCAGCAACAAGTGAGACAGCTGACAGAATTTAAAGAAGTATGAGAGTACCGATATAGTGGTCCCAAAACAAAACATCATCATCAACAAAAAAAGAACCTGCAATAAAGATCCGTCCAACGGTTTCCACTATTTCATTGTTATACAGCCAGAGAAAAATCCAGATGCAAACCTAAAGAACAATATGTTAATATCGTGGATTCAAACCTTTTGTAAGCAAACTGGTAACATATCACTGACATAAAACATACAAGTAAATGTGAGTTGTAATAAACCTGTATGAAGTAAATTCCAGCATTGAGCAATATGTAAACAAGCCTCAGTTTATCAGCTGGTAGATATCTAGCCTGATGATTAAATTAGTAATCACTTGTTAGGAAGCAAAGGAGCTAAAATGAGATGTTGTCAGTTACAACTTCGGTACCAAATGTAAGCATGGAAACATCAAATTAGACTCTACCTGATGATCAATCTCTGCCCAAAACAGGACAAGGAGAGTATATGTGGAGAAAAATAGAAGTCCGGGAAGATCCAGTAACACCAACATTAAAACCTATTATAGGATAGATACACAAAATGTCAATGCACATTTCTGTACAAATTTTCCAAAGATAAAGAATAAAGTGCATTGTGTCAAAATTTGCATGCTCTAGAATTTGCTCAGAGACTACTATAAAAAGAGACAACTCCTGGTAAGTGATAGCTGGAGAAGATTTATGCATTCAAGAACAGCGAGTCATAGACTCATGGGCCAACATGAGAGAAAAATATGCATGATGGAAAAGACATGATATTACATTTCATGGTTTGAACTAAACATTCTAAAAAATAAACCTTCAAATGAAAAAATAGCATAACCATATATTTATAAATTTTATCAGCTAAGTCCCTAACTAATCATTGGGAATTAAGAATCATAAATGGCAGTATGTACTTGTGCAAGGAAAATACAAGTAATAATCTTTTTCAGTCATTACAAGGCATACAAGAAATCCCCCAGTAATCCAGCATGATGGTTACATTGACATGTCAGACTGCAGAGAGGAATTGTGATAATAAAGTGATACTCCCTCCATCCTTAAATGCTTTTAAAACCATACACTATGATTAAAGATGACTTATTGCATGTTGGAGAGGTAAAAACATACACAGAGAAAATGGGTATTGTATCTCAACTCAAAGTCTTTAATATAACTTAAGTACTTAACCCTTAATGAAAGACTAATTCTACTGCCAATTTCATGATTGCATTTTGTTTCTTAGCTTGTATAGTATCAAAATACATATTGATATGTTAATCACATTATGACCGATTCACGGTGCATAGAGTGTAAAAAATACAACACCAGCCAAAGTAAGGAAAGAACGTCTAAGGCAAGGAAGAAAACTTACCCTAGGACTCAAAATAAATACTTGCTTGTGCAGGCCAAATACAATTGCCCGAACTGAAAATATAAAACTCATTGTCAAAACACATAGGAACAAATAATAACCATTTTACTCAAAAAATACAGAATCTAGCAATCACCTCCATTTACAATGAAGTTCATAAGATGAAACACCTTCTGTAAAGTCCATCTATATTCGGGAACTCTCAACTCGATTCTAATTAACTGAACCTGCAGATTATAAACTTATAATTGAGAACAACCAGAAAACAGTTACTTTGCAAATTCCATTAAGTGATCCCCTTTAAAGAAACAGAAGCACTAAGCTCACTGGAAAACACACCGAATATTGAATTTTCAAGTTTCCTCACCATACATTAAATAGATAGACATTTTGGCATAAAAAATTTCAAAAAATCCAATTATCATTCTTTTCACCCTTCCTCCCCCTTTTCTGACATTAAACAGAAGATTATCAGCCATAATGTAAAAGAACAAAAGTAGCTGTATGAGTAAATAAAAAGCAAATGTATCAAAATCATTATCAAACCAAAAATCCAGCTTTTTAATAAAATCGAGTCCGAAACATCCAATCTAAACCAAAATAATTCGGCTCGATTTTAATCGGACTTTGAATTTAATCCAAATAAATTAGTTACAGTGTTACACCCAGGCCTATTGGCCTAAACTAACAATTTTACTCAAACCAAAAATTTACTAACTCCCATATACTCATCCCATTTCCCAACATCATCCAAACACAACCATTTCCATCATCGTAACAATCAAAATTCAGATTCTCCAATAAAATTTACTAATAAAAATTAATATAAAGAAAACCCAACAAATAATTCTCAGCATACTACAAATTTAACTATTCGAGAACAAATTCAAGGGAGGAGAGAGAAAGAGAGAGTTACCACTTACCAGTGCAACAGAAGAAATAAGGGTAAAAAGAGCAGAAAGAGTGAAAAAGATGGCATCTTGCCACCCTACTGAGTCATTGATTTCATTCCACCAACTTGTAATTAACCTTCCAATTCCAACATTATTCACCAATTTCTCAAATTCAGATGTCATTGTTGATTCCCACAAAATTTTCTGAGTTGCCCAGAATATTTTTTCTGGGTTAAAAAGTTGGAGAAGAAGAATCACTGCAGATTAGTGGAAGTCAGCTTCCAGTGTTTTGAATAAAGCTTATTACCAAACAGTCTTGTGGGTTTCTTGCAAGGTCAATGCTTGAATTGACTAGTGGATACCTAAAGCTTTTGATTTTAGATTCAATTTCAATTTTGAAAGTTTATTCCCTCTTCCAAAATTATTAGTTGTATACTCTATTATTCCGTTGCATAATGATTTTCGTATATAGAGTACAGAGTAATATATTTACGATCTAGATAGATTAGAGGAATCTCTTACCACCCTATTTACTGTCAAATGTTGACCTGTATAGATGGACTGATTCAACCTATGAGAGGTATTGATCCAATATAATCTTTTATCTTACCAACAAAATAAAGATGAATTCTGCATAATATGAAGTAACAAACAGACTTTGTGTAATAGGCAAGAAATTTACCTTATAACTTAATCTAGAATCCCCCGTATTTGAGAGGCATTCTTATCTTTTCTTATCACTTTCAAGAATTTGTCATGTAAAAAGTAGGTAAAAAAAAAAAAAACACGTAAAGGTTGAAGTCTAATTAGGTCTTTTTCCTTACCAAAAAACAATTTATTTTCGTGTAATGTGAGTAAGTTGGAAATCTTAGCATTTATAACTGATAGTTCTTTTTTTTCTTGAACATTTCGCAACAATAAAAGCAATTGATAGTTGGCTACTCCCTCTTTCCCTAATTTCTTTACTTCATTTTCAAAAGTCTAAATTTAACTCTTAATTCATTAAATGTTTGTATTTTGTATATATATTGTATTGAGTAAATTTCAAGTGGGGGAATGGTTCTCTCTTCCATTGAAAGTTAACTCCTCTTGCCTTTGTGTATGAGTCTCGAGTTGTTTAGAAGAGCGTGTGATATTGTCAGTTTGAAATTTAGATCTTGATGATCCTTAAGTATGGTATCAAAATTGAGTTCATATGAATTAACATCCTCCTAATTTGTTAATTTATGGGGTTTTTTTTCTCGAGAGAGTAAAGTTTTATAGGTTAGATGTCACTTAATTTTACATTTCTACTTACTAAAAGGTCTATTTAAATTTCACAATACAATATCATACTTATGTCATGAATTGTACAATGATTAGCCTTAAATTAATAGAGATAGTTTAAATTTTATAATAATTGCTGACACTTTTGCAAAATATGATCATCAACTATCCTTAAAACTAAAATGATAGTAAATCTAATTAGTGACATGATATTAAATCCAATTATTGAAATGATATTAAATCCAATCCGATCTTAGATTAGATAAAGTCCAATGCGAAAGTAAATTTGGAATGATAATGAAATTACTGCAGTAAATAGTAATTAATAGCTGTATTTGTGGTAATTAGTTTTTGGTAATATTGATTAAGAAAGCCAATTTATCAATAGCAGGATCCGTGGCGCAATGGTAGCGCGTCTGACTCCAGATCAGAAGGTTGCGTGTTCGATTCACGTCGGGTTCAAACCCCCCGATCATAATACGGATATTTTAATTTTTAAATCTTAATCCATTTAATTTAGATGTCACTTGCAGTATTTTTTTTTTCTTCGACAAAAGTTGCTGTAAATTATAGAGAGGAGTATTAGAGACTTTAAGTTGTAGGAGAGCAAATGGAACTTAAGATGGTTTAAAATTTCAACGCAATCATTAATTCTCTTAATCATATAAAGTAAAGATGTTAAAAATAATTTGAGAAATTGATTCATAGTGTAAGTGCTAATGGTTCATTGTTGGTATGCATTTTGCAACATGAAAGTGCACTCGACTACAAACATTTTTATTAACCTTTACATGTTATGGAGATTCATTGATTTTTTAGTTACACAAGCACTTCATGTAGGTGGCGTATCTCGTATCCAATACATTGGATTAAGTAAATAAATTCATTACATTTCTTATATTCCAAATGAAGTATTCTCTTTTATTTATATTTAGGACACCCAAATGATGTAATCACTTTATCAGTTTATCTAATGCACAATTCCATTCATTAACTAGGTTAATCATTGAAAGGGATTAAAAAATACGGAGTAAAATAGAAAAGTTGATTCATTGTGTAAATGCTCAAGGTCTAATGGATATGATTTTGCAACATAAATGTATATTAGTCTTTTATTTATTTATTTATTTAATTTTTTTTTTTTTTTTTTACTACGTGTCTATGAGCTTCAGTTATTCTACTTTGTATTAACTTGGATAAACACTTTATGAAGGTGGTGTGTTCTGTATCCGATATATTCGTATAGAGCATTTAACAAGCTAGTAAATTCAATGCATTTCTTACATGGTAAAGTTTTCTCTTTTTCCCTCTTTTCTTAAGCACATAATAAATAAATAAATAAATAAATTTGGAGACATTTACATTTACGAATTCACAGCATTAGCAATAATCTATTACGAAGTACCTTTTATCAATTTATCTCCTCTCAAAAAAATAAATAAAAGAGTGCCTTTTATTATCTTACATAATTATATAATCATACAATTTTATTTATTTTTAAACTAATCAACAATGATTTCAAATTTCTACCCTATTCGTATTTATATCCCGTGTATTTACATGAGTTTAAAGTCATGCAACATCCGTATCCATTTCGATGCAACGGTTCTACTCCGTATCAATTAGACCTATACTAGCCAACATACGAGTACGTGTAGCAACCAATTCTGCAAGGAAAATTTGTAAAAAAAAAACCTTTTAAATGCCTCATTTTGCAAGAAAAAACCTTTTAAATGATTCTTTGTTTAAAAAAACCATCACGATCAATTTTTTTTTTAATGAAACCTGGGCTCTCTTTTTCGACATTAACTCCCAATTTCAGGCGTTGACCCACGAGTTTCCTACTTGCTGCCACTTATTTTGATAATTGCACTCCCCTTTTTATTTTTCCCTCTTATTTTCCCTCCAAAGAATTTCCTCTTTATTCTCTCTCCCCTTTCTTCCATGAATGCTCTGCAACACTATCACATCAAATTGGGTTTCTCTCAGCTTGCCATTAATACTACAACTATAAATTGAGGTTAAGTGTAAAATCATTAGCTCTATACTCGAAATGGTCAGCAGCATCCCTCACCCCACAATACCACCGTTTCACCACTCACACCCACCGAACCAAACCCTCATGCCATCAACGCCCAAACCGCAACCTACACCTCAATTCACCACCCAACACTCTCCATGCCACCACCTTCATTATCCCCACAACAGAACCACAATTGACATCATAGCCCACCATTCACACCCCTCCTAGCACCGACCCACCACCAGCCGCCGCACACAGCAGCAACACTGCCCAGCAGCACCACCAATCGAATTCGGCAGCCCCACAAATCGTAGCAACAAGCACCAATTCAGCCCCAAATTGATGACCCATTAGAGCGGGCGCTCTTCATTATGACGCAGGCGCTCCTCAATCATCCAATTTCATTAATTTTGGGCAGAAGCAAGGAGCGTTTGCTCCAATGGGTATGAGCGGCCTGTCACGTGCCGACTACTTTGCCCTAGTCACGCACCGTGCGCCACCCGCTTACAGTCCGTCGTAAGACGAGTCAGGCTTTCTCCTTGGCACTTACCCCTTGTGCCCACGTAGCACAACTCCTTGTGCTGCTAGTATAAGTTTGCTAGCACGATCCCTTTGTGCTAACAAGTCCCCTTTGGTTGAACTAAGCACTCACCCTTAGTGCCTTAGTCCGAATTTACGACTAAGTGTCGTAGACAATTGAGCACCCAAGCTATCACCCTTGCTGGTATGCCCGATCACTCACTTGGCACCCTCGTGCCTTAGTTTTCCTCACACTCTCTAAGTGTTGGAAGGAAAGGATTGAGTTGCAAGAGAACACAAGTGCTTAAGAAAGGCTTTTTGTATTGCTCACAACTTATAGCTCTTAACTTGTTGATCTCTCAACTTAAATGTACAAATGAGCCTTGGAGCCTATTTATAGTGCTCCATCCTACTTACATGCTTCTCTAGAAAATTCCTAACCTCCTCAAATGGAGGGTTCTAGTCTACAACAATCTAGAGTGTTCCCACCTCCAAAGGAACATACATACAAGGAGGTTTCTACATACTTCCTACCTAGAATGTTAAGGACTACACTAGAACATTCTAGAACTTTACAAGAGTTATGTACATATGTAGAGAGACCTAAAAGACTCCTAATATGTACCAGACCTTCCTTGATTATTCTAGAGTCATCCACTCTAGAATAGTCTTCAAAAGAACCTCGTAGATAGCTCCGGAACCTTCTAGAAGCATCTCGCGTTTTCCGGACTACCTGCTGCCAAAACTCGTATTTCGGGACCTTGTCTCGGAAAACTGACACCACCATCGTCTTCCTTGGCCCAAAATACAGTGGACCCCCAAATTTGGGCCCATTTGGACTTCATTTGGGTCTCCAAACGACCCATTATTGTGTTACTGTCAAGTGGGTGTTCACTAGGATTCTAAGCAAGGTGCAATATAAAGCTCTTTAGGGGGAAGTGCTTACCTGAGCACCAAGGCAAGCCCCCTAGCCCCGATTGTTGCCTTGCTGCCTAGTGACCCTCTTGACGCCCATCCTTGGTGTGGGAGATGACCCGTGACAGGCCGCTCCGTTTTATCGGGTCCAATTGCACGGAATTAAAAGAAATTGGACGGCTGCGATTAACTAACTCAAATTACGAGTGAGATCAGAGATGATGGTATTTGAATCGGAGATTATGGCCGTTGATGATGATGATACGTGGATGCTGATGAAATCAGAGCAACAAAGTGAATGAAAAAGAGGGGGGAATTCGTGGGTCTGATTGTTTGGGAAGTAGTGGGTTTTTGTTTTATTTCGCTTTATTTTCTATTTTCTTTTTTGCTTATCCAAATGTAGGCTGCAAAGTAGGATAAATCATGGGTCAACGCCTGAAATTGAGAGTTAATGTCAGAAAAGAAAATCCAGATTTTATTAAACAAAAAAAAATGATTATGGTGGTTTTTTTAAATAAAGAATCCTTTAAAAAGTTTTTTCTTTGCAAAACAAGGTTTTGAAAGTTTTTTTTTTTTTTTTTGACTTTTCCTTTAGCAAAAAACTTCATAAACCCCCGATAGCCAAAACTAAAACCCTATTCTTTCTCTCTCCTCAACCTTTCTTCAACCTTCATCAATGGCGTTATTTGCCAGATTTCGATCAAGATCAATTCTTCAACTCCGAAACTACTCGTTATCTCCCTCATCAATCCTAAGCTCAGATTCCAAAACAATCTTA